ATCGAAGAAGTGCAGGCTTACTTATGCCAAACATTTGTTCAAGTGACGTATTTGAATAGATGAAAGGAAAGCACTTACAGTTCGGAAATTAATTAAGAGGTACAGTTACTATGGATCTCAACTTTCAAAGCCAATTTTTCGAACTTCTTGACGATCACCGATTCTTTATTTCGTTCAATTATAAAATAAAATGCGTAAGTTACTATAAATAAATTGCAGAAATGTAGTTTTAGTTGAAATAATCGCAAATAATAATAAAAAAAGCAGCAACACACGAACGAACGAACGACTAACCAGTGACCATGCACTTGCCTTCAAAAATCACTTGAGCCGGTTTATTTCTGAGTGCATTTTTATCGTTTCGCAGTTCATCAAACGTAAAGAGCCTTTGTTGACGTCTGGATAATTTTTAAATTTCACGGCAATGTGAAGTCAATAAAATTAAAAGCAAGTAACTTCGAATAAAATGCCAATATTAAGATAAATTACTTGTCGATTGCGATACGGTCACGAATGGAAATCAGAAAGTTATCAGTTTTTTTACATTTAATCGTTGTTTTTTTTGCACCAATCACTGTGTCTTAAATATGTATATATCTGATTATAATATAATTCGAAATTTACAACTAGGTTTGTTCGATTTCGTGTTCCTTTGGGATTTTATCTTGCTATTGACCCCATCTAGAGTAAAACGATAATTTGAAGATCTGTGTCCATAATTTGAGTTTTTCAGTGAAACTCTACAAAAACTGTAGAATTCAATATCCCAAATTATGGCATTACCAAGATAAAATCCCAAAGAGAAACGAAATCCAACAATATAATTATGCAAAATTTTAGTTTTCAGTTTGTGTTTACTATGGATCTGTAACTGTTCACATTCTATTTATTGTTTTTTTACATTTTTGTGCAACCAAGCTCGCGATTTTGTGACGGCTCGTCGCAATCATGAAAACATGTATCTAAATAGAAAATGTTGAATTCATGAGTTCAGTTAATGGCTTCAAATACCCATCATTTCTGTACGATTTTAAATTGTTTCGCTCTCAATTAATGCCATTTACCAGTTTGTATGTGTAGTTTTATAGACTTTTTTTTTATATTCCAATACTTTGTGGAATCATTGAAGCTGCAAAAGAAAAAAAAACGTTCATTGTCTTCAGATTTAGTGCGTTATAGAAGTGTAAATTGTGCTCAATTGTGATGCACCTTAATTTAAAATAAATTCCCAATACACACACGACGCAATCAAAAAATTTAATTTTTATCGCATTATTGTCTATAACTAAGCGTGCGATTTCTACCAATACCATATGTTTCATTCCATTTGAATTGTCTTGGAGAAATTTTAAAATTTAATTCAACGACAAAAAAATGCCAAAAATTCATAAAATTATTTTATTCTCTATTCATCAACGAAATACCACTTTTCTCCGAATAAGTTTCAAAGGATAGCATAAATACTATGGCTGAATAAAGTTCAAAAATAACGAGGTTTATGTCTGTAGCGAAAACGATGTTTTTTATGGTTAGTTCATTTTTTTTTTATTGGCGAAATGATTGAACTCAAACAAAAGAAATGCTATTACGGAAAATGACTGAAGAGAGATAGATAGATAGATAGAGAGAGAGAGAGAGAGATAAAGAGAAAAAAATGGAGAAAGGAAAAAAATCATAAGAAAGCAGCACTCGAATAATTGCAAATCGTGTAAGAAGCGAAAAATAAAATGAAAATAATTTTCCGTTCAATAGATAAGCTGTTACAATCAAGATTAATGCGAACAATAAACTTAATTATCTGTTTATCAGAATATTATGTTATTCATCAATGAGCGTTCATCTGTCAATGTGTGTAACCTCTCAATATACGATCATATTTGCCTTCCAATTGGCATTTGGACAGTAAATTAATCATCAATAAATCGGCGATAAACAGATCGAGATTTAATTTGGACGATGTAAAATTTTAATTAAGATTTCTAATCACCGTTTTCCAAATTACGATGCTTATCGCCTCATTCCTTTTATTTTTTATTTTTATTGTTCGGATTTAGAGCAAAAATCCCATTGAATTTGTAGCGCTTTTAATCGATCAATAACCTTTTTCCATTTCACTCATACGTTTCCATTGAATTTACTTGAAAAAGTGGTAGATAATCTTGTGGATATTGTCAACAACTTGAATTGATTGATCTTTTCATTTTTTTTCTTCAATGTATTCGCGTTTTTTCTATGCAGTTTCAAAATTGTTTGACGATCTACATACCGCAATTCAATCGAAAATAAATCCATCGTATTTTACCCGAAATTATACCGTTTGAATGGACATTTGTCCGGTATTTCGTGTATTCTTTAAATTTCAAATGTTTTAAATACAGTATTAAAACTCTATTGTGTCATCGATATGCAATCATAGTAATTATGCACAGTAAACGCGTTTAATTGCATCGATAAAATGTTGTGAGAATACGCGTCATCTAAAAACTAACAGCTCTTTCGATTGAATATCGTAATTTATTATTTATATGCAATATTCGTCAACACCTTCAAATTTACCGGCTCAGATAAATGTTTGGCTGTTCAAAATTCACATCCGCCTTGCGGTATAATAAAAATTAAAAATACGCATAACAAAGTATCGTATTTCTTATGTGTGTGTATGTCTTTTTTTTCTCGTTCAAATACCGAGTTTTGAATGCTTACAATACGATTCGGTAACTATTTCAAGTCTCATTCGAAGCAATTGACCGAAGCTCGTACACGACTAAACAATTCCAATTGATCTTGCTAATTTGGCATTCTAAGCACGTGCTAGAACCGCACCGCTATTGTGCGATTGCGACAACAACACACCAAACAACTCTATTTTAATACGTTTTTTACTATTCTGCATAACATTTAAGCTCGATAAACATTCCTTTTCAAAATAAAACAAAAATAAAATCATTGACATTTCGAATCAGCAGAGTGACTAAGCAATTAGTATGGCGCAAAGTAAATATGTTGACAGAAATCAATAAATTGACCTTACATTTGGACCAAACGAATATTTCTACAATTGATGAAATGTTTGGGGCGTTTCGATCGAATTGGAAGCTGCAAAATTTTGAATGAAACTCAAAAAGTTTCTGCACATAATCATCTTTCATTAAAATGCAACAAATGTATGAAAATAAAATCGGTTATTGTGTAATAAATTCAGTGCTATGAAATTGTGGTTTTCATTTCAAACGCACGAAGAGATAACAATAAATGCATTTATTTTTGAACTGGCTGAGACGCGCGTACATTTCAAATTGATGAATGGGAATTTAAGCGAGAGAAAAGAGATTAGGGGATAAATGGTGAGAGGTGCACACATCGCACAAGCATTCGTATTCCAAATGGTTTTTTATAAATGTTGTCAAATTTTTCGGAGCGCTCGTCTTCGTTTCATCGTTTTTACTATTAATTCAGTATTATTAACGCTGTTATAAAATCGACGTGGAATTTTAGCATTTCATTATCGAGTCTTGGTTGCATAATAGATTTAATGCGATATTTCGTCTGCTGATGTATACGCATATGCAAGCACGTGTGGATTTTATGGAGATGAAGATATAAATATCAATGAGCAACCAATATATCGAAATAAGAAAACGACGAACATACACGACTTTTTTTAGTTTATTAAATATGGATTTTCAATACTTGTAAGTCTCTTTTTTTTCACACAGCACATTGTTTTGGAAATTTTATTTAAATTATGGCATTATATTATACAATCCCAACATCGTATTTTTTTTCATTTGTATTTTGAAGTAACAAAAATGCAAACTTTCGATTTTTTTCACTACAAAAAATATGTATAACATTTTTATTAGGACTTCCTCGTCGACCTTTTCGATGAATAAATAATTCCATTCGGAATAAACGGAACTAAACGACAAATGTTAAATCATTTCACCTTCTAATTTACCAATAGTTTTTTTTAATACCAAAAACAATTGCGTTTACCCAGAACAGAATGTCAAAATAAATGTATCATCATTGCGATGATTTAAGTGTATAATTATGTGAACACATTTTAATTAAATAAAACAATAATGTAAGTTAAAAAAAAAACATTTAGAAGTTTCAAATTTTCTCAAAACGTAATCAATTTCAAGAAATTAGTGTACTTTTAGGCGAATTATTTTATATTTCATTGTAATCATACACAGAGAGAAAAAAATTGATATTTTTAACAGTGTTTCATATATCGCTATTAGTATCCGTAAGATAACTGAGAGGGATATATTCAGCCAGATATGACAAGTGTTTAAATTAGACACCAGAGATGCTAAGCGTGTCTTATGCAATTTTGCACTCATATGTGAATATATCCCCCTCAGTTATCTTACGGATACTAATAGCGATATATGAAACACTGATTTTTAATTCAATTTTGGTAGATTTAATATAAAATCAACCAACATTTTGTCTTTCTTGTAATAATATCATTAAGTTTTACAGTAGTAATAATTCAGTGAGAGATATTGACTTTATATAAATGTAAGTAAACCAATAAAGTGGGCTTAATTTAGACCATAGATTGGTCTTGCTCAATTTGGCGCTGAAAATGAATTCGTAAGAAAACCTCAATGTTTCAATTGAATGACATGCCTGAAGTTAGAATAATATTTGCTTTTTTGAATGACCCACTTTATTCCCACCATTTCATTCTTTTAAAGTTCCATCGAAGTAATGTAGAAGTTCTGCAAAAACTCCATTAAAGTGGCGATATTTCAGAGAGCGATTCCAATACATATATGGTGATATTCCATTGAGAGAGTTCGACACATTTTTTGTACTATAATGAAGAAGTTCTTTTACTTCTTTGAGAATAATTCGCACAAAAATGACTCGCAAATAAAACCATTTCCTCTTTCGCAAACTTTCCGCAGCTTCACTTGACGAAAAAGCAAAAAAAAAACCTTCACAGATACAATCATAAATGAATAAAAAGATGCTTAGAATCGTTGACACTTTTAGATGTTATTTATTTTTAGTTTGGGATAACAAAACTATATACTAATAAATCATTACATCGAGATTTTTTACCAAAATGATGGAAGTTGGGATTTTTCAACATAGGCCAGCCTACAGATCATAATTCTGGGACTATAAACATTAAATTTTTCGTGTAATAATTTTTTTTCCCGCATTTTAATTAATAATTCATAGATTTTTTTTTCCATTTCATAGAAAAGGTGATAAATTTGTATCAGATAGTTACGATATTATTGTGTTATATAAGTTCAAAATCATGATTGGACCACGTAGTCATTGTATAAATAAATGAAGGCTCAGAAAGCAGAAAAGTTTTTATTCACAAACGTAGAAAATTAAGATTATTTTAAAACTATTTTCAAGTTCGATTTTTCGATGCATAAAATAAAAGCGGTTGTTAACATCAATGTAAAAATGAAATATACTTTTGTGTTGTCTTAAATTAGTTTTAAGCAGTTTCGCTTTGTAAAACATATCATCCTTTGTTTTTTCAACCTTGAATAATAGTAAATCAATAAAAAATCGTTTCCTATCTTCATTCCTATGGTAATAAATCGGTAGACTTTGATCTGCATCGGTTTTCGAACTCATCAATCTTCTTTGGAGCGTGGAAGTACATGTTTATATTTTCCGTTTTCAAAATTTAATGATTTTTTAAGCAAAACAGTAAATTATTTGCCGATTCTAGAATACTACCTGGATCAATAAGTCTTTAGAATCGGACACTAGATGGTGACACAAGTAAATATCCATCTCATTTTTAGAAAGAGCCATCCTTCAAACCTCCAAATATGAAATTTGAGCCAAATCCGTTCACTGACGAAGAATTTACAGCACTTAATCGAACATAGCCTCAAAATGGGTCCAAATTCTCCATTTCATCTCTTTATCTCAAGGAGTGGACTGAATGTTAAAAGTATTTCTGCACCCAGAGGATAGATAAAGGTCCCACCAGTCCACACCAGAAATATGAAATTCATACGTTTTCTACTTCGTGAAATATTGCCATCATTTGTATGGCTTCCCGAGATGATTTTTGGTCACATTACTGAAGTGTATATTTTCTCAATAAAAACAGTATTTTCTTGATTCAAAAAGTTCAAAAATGACATGGATTATTCTTTTGGCATTGCTTCGTCCCATTCAAGATGATAAAGCAATATTTGGAACAATGCACTTCCAAAAGATGGCTCTTTCTAAAAATGAGATGGATATTTACTTGTGTCCGATTCTAAAGACTTATTGATCCATGTAGTAGAAACCATCTAGAGTGATCTTCACTTTAGCCAATGTCAAAAAAAAACTCGCCAAATCATTTGTCTCTAACAAATCTATACTAACAAATAAATTCTACAAAAACATATATTATCAAAAGGACAAAGAGAGATGGGAATTGGTATCGCTTAGGTAGGCTGGTTGATGCGCCTTGTTGCTTCATAGTTACGCGGAATAATTTCAAAGTTATTAAATAACACTAAACAAGGTTCCTATGAGCAGTAAAAAAAAAACATTTCCTATGATTTACAATGAAAATATATCTTATGCAATAGTTTTAAAATCAAAATTTCTAAACAAATTTGAAAAAAAATAATAAAGAAATCGTTTGTGAGGTGGTAATTATATCTGAGATTTTTGTGTGTTCGCAAATAATATGTTTGAAAAACGAAAAACTATTTCGTTGCTATAAATGTATATTGAATAAAATGTGTTGACCGACATTTTGGTCCACAGAAAATCACAGAAAGCACATCTTTTGATGTGATATTCAATTCTATAGATGTCCAACAAATTGAACGAATTCCAATTTCAAATATTCACTTTGGTTTTTTTTCATTTTTTTTTTTTGGGTACTACATTACAACATTTCTTTTTTTTATTATTAATTATTCTAATAATTATTAAACAATTTTATGCAGAAAATACATAGGCTCCCATTTGCTGTGGCCAATATTTCATAATAGCCAAGGGAGTATGAAATCCGATTTCGGAATTTTTGTCCTAATTCATAGATTATTCGAATGGATGGGAGGAAAATGAGGCATACTCTAACTGAAACAAATAAAAATACCGAATTTTTCGATGGTTTAATACAATGTAGAGCTTGGGGGTCGAAAAAAGTCTGGATGATTTTTGAACACATCCCACCCATTCAAATATACAATAACAAATGAATGGGTCAAAATAAAAATCAGACTTGTACGCAGAGTCTATAAAAGTGAAACATGGAGTTTTTTTTTACATAGTTTATTTGTTGTAATACAACAACAATTCTATGTAAAAAAAACGCTGTGTTCCACTTTTATAAACTCTGCGTATTTGTCGGATTTTTATTCTGACCCATTCAAATTTTCTCTGTTGTTAGTTACATAGATATAATATTTATTTACTTCAATTGGCATGTGTGTGTGTGAGAGATACGTGTATTGTCTTTAAATTATTCTAGAGTCATAAAAAAATGGATTATCAACGAATAACGAAACCGAGATACGGAACATATTCAAATTCGATTCTTTCTTACTATGTTAAACTATACCATTTTGAAGCACTTTGTTCTAATTCTATGTCCTCATTGTACGTACGTTCAATTAAGTAATTTAAACACAACGTGCCACTTAAGTTATAGTTTACTGTATTAATATACACTAACAATTTAGTCGACGTATTTCTATGACTAAAATATTCAAAGTATTTCTCAGTTATTTACGTAAAAGAAATACTAACGATAAAGACAACCTCTAAATTTACAGCATACAGAATTTTGGAAAATCTCAAATAAACTGATTTGTGGCATCAAATTCAAATTGTTCTCTTCCAAAAACCAAAAAAGAAAACGAAAAATCAGTGCATTCGTTTGTTTGTGTATAATTTTTCATTGAAATTCAATGTTGTCATTAAATATAAGTTGTCTTCAATGGATTTAATTCAAATTTAATAAATTCAAAAATAGTTTCACCATAAAAATGACACCAGTTGTGCTATTTTTTTTTCTCTTCACTATCTATAGTTTTACAGTTGTAAATTGCACGGCCATATGGGTGCTTGAAAAAAGGGAACTACTGAGATTCAATATTGCAATATTCTATGTGTAACAAATCATCCAACACAATCATAACATATATCTTGCCACATGTAGAAAAACGCATTATCGTCTACACTTTTGTTGCACATTCTAAAGGAGCTTTGTTTGGCAAGTTTCTTAAATTCAAACATTGAAGCGTTTGGCAACACTGAGTGATTTGCTCAGAGTAACACCTGATCGTTGTATGACTGTTAATTCAAAAATTTACTACGCAAAAGAAATACAGATTTTTTTGTTTTGTTGCAATCACGGGTTAAAAAAATCACAATGTGATGAAACAAAATATCTCCTTTGTGTGAAACATTTTTAAATGCAATTTTGAGTGAGATTTATTTATGTCTTGCTTTTTACGGTGGTCATACAAAACTTGACGATTTCTAGTCAAATCAAATTATAACAAAATTTACTTATTTTTACTACATAAAAAATATTGGATATGAATGTTTTTATAGAAAAATAAAATTATATTGTAGAGAGAACCAGTGGTGGTCAACGAACATTCACATACAGTCACTAACCTCGCTAGCATGAGTGAAAATGTGATGTGTGCATTTAATGTTTATACATTTGTGATTTAATTTCAATGTCGCTATCGGCAAACGTAAAGTTATACTAACATTATTAGTAAAATGATGATCTTTCGTATGAAACAAAACATATGCGAATGTTATTCAGTTTTTATTCGTCGTAGAAGTTCTGCGAGATAGAATTCAGTACTTTTGATACTTGGGGTCAAATTTTTGACAGATAAATAATGTGGTACTGACCAAAATTGGAATTGGAGCCCAAGAAAAAAGAAAAAATCATGTTTTTGTTATTCTATTTGGATTTATATGACCATGTTCATATTTTTTTATAATACCGAAATTCACTCGCACATAAATACCGTATACAACCAGAGTTCTTGCAAAAAAGGTGTTGTTTTGAATTAGAAACTTGATAATTAAAATTAGAAGTTCAAAACGCTCACTTCATACATATATGTATATTTGCAATAGTTCCCCAAGCTCCCATCGGAGATAACGAGATTGGGAAAAGCAAATTTAGAGTAAATCCTTTTTTCTGATTTGAAAGTAAAAAACAAAAACACATTTTCTGAACTCATCACATTTCGCTCATCACATCATTCACTTATGCTTCATTCTTATTCGTTATTTAAATCAAAACACAATGGATCATTCCAGTGCTTATATCAAAAGTTAATTTGCGTAAAAACACCATATTTTATAATAAATTAATTCGATCCAGTTCAAAATGCAGTATTCGGAGTATTAAGATCAAGATATGTAATAAGTTCAAGTTAAATCGTTTACTTTAAGTAGTGTGTCCCGTCTGATAAGTTACAGCATAATGCTTCGTTTTTTAGACATCGAGGACGTTATTCGTTTTCAATGGATGTTGTTTTTCGTAAGTGTCACAACATATTCGTAAAAATCAATAATAGTTCATTGAATGTTATTGTTACCAAATTATAAGTTGACCAGAGCATGTGCATAAATATCTTACACATAAACAGTAACGTTCATTAATTTACAAGTAAATTTTTCGTTAAAATGTGTATATAAACTCATGCTCTGTAAATTAAATGGAAACCAGAACCAAAAAAAATGCATAATAATCTGTCAATACGATATTGAATTTGGAATTTCACACGTTGATTTGGAATGTTTCGCGATGTAGCTTGGGATTGGCTCGAATTCGTGGTGAACTGCCCGTTGATTTTTTCTCACCAGTATCGAGAAAACGAGCTGGCGGTGGCATATGTGATTCATAGTTTGGATAATTCGATATGCTGCACGAAAACAAAATCATTTAAATTAAATTAAATCGCATAAAGGATGCAAATGAAATGTGATTCATTCAACCGACCTAAACGTTGTTTCTTCGTTGTGACTAGAATAACCGCTAGAGCTTCTTACATGCCGTTTTGTCGGGTTTTGCACTGATTTTCCCGGTTTTCTTGGCAAATATGCCGATTTGGTTTTTCTGGAATCTCTGGACATGCTACCCGGCGATGTTTCGGAAGATGACGATGTGGTTTCTTGTTGTTGATCTTATAATCAAATTGAATGGAGGAATTGAGCGGAATAGAAAGGTGTAATACAGATAATTATAAGCATAATTTTTTTTAAAAAAAATTATAAGAGCATCGGTGTTACCTCGTTGTCTATATTTCGATTGATTCACAGTCCTAGATGCAACATCATTATCTGACTCAGAACCCAATGTATCGTATTCTGTAATAGGTATGTGAAGTGTTAAGATTTTCCTCACTTCTGAATCTGTTGAACCTGGATTGTCCGATTCTAAAAATTTTTTGATTTGATGATGCTTGAAATGAGTTTATTTATTTAACTGTTTGTTTTCAATGCAGTTGCATTGTCTTTTTTAGTTTTCTCTTTTTCATGACATTACTGGGTGTGCTATTATTTCATAGAATTATTGTGAAGCGAAAAATGATGTGATACAATGTGAAAACAAAAAGAATAAGCATGATGCTATTACAAACGATGATAAGACTGTGTAAACGTCCAATTATTCCTTAGATTTTGGTGGAGCTGTTATAGGCACAGTTGAGATGCGACCACTTTTCTTGCAAGTGCTGCTCTTTCTTATATTCAAGTGCGGCATAAGTGAGTGGCCGCACTTTATCAGTGCCCAATAACAGCTCTGGAGTTTGAATATATTTTTTTTAATGTTTGGAAAATTATATTTATTTAATGATACTACGGTTATTTCAATCTACATACAATCCAATTATGATTACCTTGACTTTCTGAATGTGGATCACGTAGACTATGACCTTTTCGCCTTACTTTTGTATATTCCGGTTCTTTGGACTGCAAAAAAAACCGATATTGCATATATCGAATGGAATTGTTTTAAATAAATATCAAAATAATTTATAAACATACATGTCCATCGGGCTTTGCGTCATGATAAACAAATGAACCGCGCACCGAATGATAGGGTCCACTGTAAACATTTCCACTATATGAACTCTCACTGTATGTTTGCTTATTATTTAATTGGAATGTGGCGTACGGACATATATCTTCAATGTATTCTAAATATTTATAAAAAAATGCAAAATGAATTTGGAGTAAAACATTTGTTATCACAAATGAATTAAAAGGTCATTACCATTGCCTTCTGCTTTGTAGCTTCCTGAATCATTTGAGTTGCTGTTTCGGTTGCTTTGACATCGTACCGCATGGTATTGTTGATCGCGATTTTGTTTATTTTGTAAATTGGTTGTCGATGGTGAATCTGACATGGATGAGGATGTCAATCGACTTTGATTAATTAATTTTCGTCGACGCATTATAAAAACGATGCCAATGAAACCAGTTATCACAAATAATGATAAGCAAATCGGAATAAAAACTTTGTAGTTGCCAAAAAATTGACCATCTCCCATATGAGAAATATTATTTGGATGATCTGCATTGAAATGAACTGAAAAAATAATAATAATAATAACGATTTATAATGAATATTGTTTGTTTGGCGAAAAAAACTTACTTCCTTGTAATGTGGATGTGGTTAAATTATAGATTGCGCTTGCCGATCCAGCATTATTGTAAGCGGTTATTCGAATTTGATATTTGGTATTTGGATGGAGATCAGTAACGGTGTAAATACGTTCGGTTGGTGCGATATGATTAGCGATCATATTCCATTGTGATCGTGAATGAAGTTTACATTCGACCGCAAAATGTGATATACCACATCCACCGTCGCCCCACGAATCGAGCCAACATGTGACGCTTGTTGCATTCTGCGTAATTGTTTGTGAATGTTTTGGCTGAATCGGTGGGCTACCAGTGGTGTGTGTGAAGACAATATCACATGGCAAACCGGTACCAATTTTATTATAAGCAGTTACATATAATTGATATTTTGTACCACACCATAAATTACCTAATAAATGATGATTGGTCTTCGAGTCAATTTGTAACTCTTCCCAATCGCCATTTTCACGTTTAAAATTAATAACATAGCCGAGAATGGGACTGCCACCATTTTTATTGTCAACCCATTCAAGTTTTAAACTCTCCGAAAATGACTGGATTGGTGAAATGACAGGCGGATCAGGTGGTACTTTAATGGTTATGCTATAGACAATTTCATCTTTGCCCCATGTATTTTCAACTGTACCTTTTGTATCAGGGTTATTTAAAATCAATTAAAAAACTAATTTTCTCAAATAATGATAATAATAATAATAATTTACATGTATAATTGCCCTCATCGGTGCTCATACAATCCCGTATTAACAATGTACCATTTTTGGCAATTGTTTTTCGTGCATTTGTCTCCATTGCTTGGCCTTCTTGTCGCCAAATTGTCACCGGAGATGGTACACCGACCTTTCGGCACGGCAACACAAGATTTTCTTTCCATGGACTTTCGATGCTACGACTAAATGATATTATTCGAGCTGGAATTTTATTATTGGGCGGCACTTTAACCATTCTCGTTTTTTCACCTTCGCCAATTTTTGTTGAAGCAGTTAACCAAAAGTCATAAGTTACTCCTTCCTGAAATTGTTTGATTTGTGTTAAATTGTATTGAACTAGAGAAGAATAACGATCATAATTACTTGTCTATGCGCTTCATGGACTTCGATATTTGGCCCCAAAACTTTTTTATGAATACCTTCATGGTTACTACCTTCAGAAGATAGCATATAAAATGTGTATCCGATCTATTTTGAATGGAATAAAGTATAAAATGTCATTATAATGCTGTGATCAAAGTAACGATTATGTATGCTTCGCTCACAATTTCGCCATTCATATTCAATGGTGGCAACCATGATACGATGACTTTAGTATTTGATGCTGGTATGGCTTTTATATCTTGTGGAGCAGATGGTACTGTGAAAGCAATAAAGAACGATTCGCATTAATTTGATGCATTAAAATTGATGTTAACATGAATATACATTTATGCAAAGAAGTTAGTTACCATCTTCATAAGTTCGACAAAATAGCTGCTTAGTTTTCACACCGTCACCAACCTTTGTGTATGCCAACACCCACACACTGTAGTTTGTGTACTTTTTTAAGTTTTCAACCGTCAAATATTGATTATTCGATTTTACGACGTGCATTTCTTTATCGTAAATATCATCGGTCGCAATATAGAACACTTTATAACCACGCACTTTACCATTTTGGCTATCAACGGCTGGCGGCGACCACGTTATATAGATCGACGTCGAACTCAGAACATTACACTTCGGACTCTCTGGAGAACTTGATGGTACTGAAATTCAATAAAGCTTTTATATGTACAACAATGAATTTTGAAGGGGAAAAAGACGAATAATTTATGCCCGATAACAGAAATATTGTTATGAAATGGTGTGCATTTTTATTATATAATTTTATCCTTTAAACATTCACAGCATCATGTGATTAAAAGAAAAAAAGATATCCAAGTAGTTTCTTTGCAAATTGAAATTACCGTCTTCCAAAGTTGTCACTTGGATCTCTTTGCTGGGCGGTCCACTGCCTTGGCTTGTATATGCTTGCACAAAAATGTTGTATTGCGTAAACTTATTTAAATTTTCCAGTAATGTTTCCAAACCGAAATGGGCTCGAATTTCGACCGTTTTCAAATTAAATCCTAGCGTTGTACCAATCAAATCAGAAGCAGATTGGTAGCCAACATAGTAGCCCAGAAGATTTCCATTCCAGTCACTTTTATTTGGCGGTTCCCAAGATAGAAGAATCTCGGTTGAACTCTTTGCTTCGCCACGTACATTGAGCGGCGGTCCGGATGGAACCTCTTCCAATGTTGTCACTTGTACCACTTCCGAAAATTCCGATGATCCAAGCTTATTTTCGGCGGCAATTCGTAAATGGTATGCCGTTGCCGGATGCAAATTATCAATATTAATGAGAGTTTGTGTGCCCGGTACTGTGATTTTTTCCGCAGATGGCCAAGTATCCGCAGCAGATTTGTATTGAATATTATACTCTTCGATGGGGCTATTCCCTGAAAATGGTTGTGTCCATGTCAATTGTATGTTACGCGACTGTTTTGAGTTTATGTTTAAGCTTTTTGGTTGTTCGGGCACCTCTTGTACAATCAAATGCATAGACATTTCATCCTATAACAATGAACGAAACGATTGAATATTTAAATCCATGAAGGCCCATGAATGATAGCAACAGTTCTTACCTGGCCAAATGAATTGCTTGCAAGGCAAATATAAACATTCGTATCATGACGGAATGTATGCGAAATTCCTAGCTCGGATACCATTCCATCGTCTAATACCTGTTCGCGTATCGTATATCTGAAACAAAATTACCGCATCGGATTAATTAACACGATATTCGAGATCAGTTGGATAAATTGATTTTCATTATATGATAACTTTCGAAAGCTTTGAAAGCATCAAGTCTCAAGCGCAAACACAAACAATGCTTGTAAATGTTCGTCATGGTTACGAAGGTATACCTTGTGTCGGTAGATGAATCTAAGTGCTGTTGAGTGTTTTGAATTTTCCATTTGATGGTAATCGGAGTGTCTCCCAATACATTACACTGAACATGAACTTGTTTTCCTTTCGCAACGGATATTTGCTTATTTTTTGTTGTGAAATGAGCCGGCACTAAGAATCAAATAAATTTAACAACACAACAAAAAAGCATATACTTCTCTTCACAATTTATAAATATCGCACAAAATAATCAATTCGTTTTAACGCGACTCAACGAACCGTGTTTTATTAGTTTTTTTTTTTTTTTTTGCAAAATGAAAGATATGAGATATAAAGTAGGTAATTTTATCGTACCATTAACTTTGAGAAAAATAACTTTGCTAACACCGGCACCAATGTTGTTTTTTGCCTCGCATAAAAAGTGTCCTTGTGCTTCCTTCGTAATTTTTCTGAAGTTCAGCGATCCATTACTGAACAACGACACATTTGGTTCGTATAAAAATTCCTTGTATTCACCTGGTGTCGATCCAATCGCTTTTCCTATTCATTTATAATGAGAAAAAAATACACACGCATCGTTCAATATTGAATGGTCAATTTGCTTTTGAATTTTGGTGAATGAATGATCCATGCACAACTCACTCCATGTGACGGTCGGATGGGGCCAACCATCTGCTTGGCAATGCAATGAAATGTCTTCGCCAGCTTGTACGCTTGAATCTTTGGGCTGTAATATCCATTTTGGTGGAACATTCACAGTCACCGAAGCGGTGAAACGCTCGGATCCAGCAATATTTGATGCTATACCTATTTCAATTGAAAGAATTTCATTAAAATATTTTTTTAAATGATTACAAATTAGTAATAAAATTTGAAAAATTACATGTGTAATTCCCAGAATGTTCGGACGAAATGTGTTCAATCAACAACGATACGGAATATTCATCGATGCGACGTATTACTTCATCACTGCTCCAATACATAAATGGCATTATAAGTAAAGGTTTAAATCAATTACGGTCATGATTGTTGTTTTCACTCGCAAATGAAGCACACATACCCAGTTCCAAGTAAAGCTTTTCCATTTCGTTCCCACTTGAATGTAACGGGAAGGTCACCTTCTAAAATTTGACACGAAATCGCAGCTCTCATACCCTCTTTTAACATATTTGTCATCGACTGAATTGGCATTATTTTTGGTGGCACTTTTTAAATGGGAATGCAAAATTAAATGATTAAAAATTGTAGCATACATAGCAGTGAAAGCACTGCTCATAATGTTCGAAATGGTCTTTGTTTTGTACAACGTTCTTTTAACTTACTCAAAACTTGAATTTCAACATTTCTCCGGGATGTTTGTTTGAGTTTATTTTGTGCTTCACATGTGTATGTACCAGCATCTTCGGTACGTTGTAATTGTTCAATCACAAGTGTGCCATTGTTGTAAGCCTTCTGCCTGCGGTTTATGGGCAAAGTTTGTCCATCTGAATTTAGACATAAATAAATGGTTTCCATTAAAAAAATAACGAACAAATATCTTGTAAGACTTTAACCAACACAATACAAGAAACTTCAACCCCTGTGATGAAAAATCCCTTGTGTAACATTTTTAATTAACGATGCCGGGCTTTACATAATGCTTAAACAATGTTTTGACAATCAATTTGTTTGACTTATTGATTCAATTGCAATTGATTTTAATCGTAACGTGGACTATAACCGATTAAAAGTGATTATAGACCTGTCATTGAAGGTCGTATAAAACAAAAAATGCCATTTGAAATAAAAAATCGTCGACCAGGTTGTGACCATCATATATACTGATGAATAATAAATATAGAGTTTAGTTAGCTTTAAGTCAAATTGATTTAATCGATTATTCCATTTTTTTCACAAGGGGTCGATCTACAAGAAAAAAAACCACATTGACGATATTCCATTCAGTTTCATTTTATGCGAACACCAAGGGCCATTTAAATGTTTGGAAAACATTTTGAATATAATTACATAAGATATATATAGATCTTACGATAGATTTTTGAATTGCACTACAATACATGTCAAACATTCACATGTGTTGCACATGTGACCATAGTTATTTTATTTGAACCCTTACCAGCATCCGCTTCCGAAAACTGTAACAATTGCATTTATAGAAACTGTGTTTTAATTCACAAATGAAATTACATATAATAAATGAGATGTTGACGATAGCCTTATCGTCGCACATATGTTGGCAATCATCCAGTGAGACAAAATGTATATATCACTGTGGTTATTTAACCAATCGAAAAAATTCAACATGTCTACATTTTTTTTTTGAAAATAAAACAAGAAAAACACTTTAGTTCTTCAAATCATCGGAAACGTTTTAAACTTGTCAACTTTAGTAGCAAATAAATACTACTAAGATTTGTAAAGTGGAAGAAATGTTGAGATGTTGCCAAAAAGTTTATATTTACTATGAGTGCAATCATTCCAGTCGTGACCAATGCAATTTCGAGAATCTTTATGTAGAAAATATTCTGTTATCGACGCAAAAACTTATCATGGAACCACTTGACAGCGCATATAGATAATTAATTGTAAAAATGTCTAACAAATCACGGATTTTATGCCAAACAATAAGTTAAGTAAAATAAATCATACCTCGTTCCCAGTGGATTTTATCTATTGGATAACCTGCCACAGGGCATTTTACCTAAATTCCAGAAAGAATTGCAAAAATTGATATATTATTGAAAAATGGTGTCAGGGGACATTAATACAGAGTAAATGAAGACAAGTGTAGTGTTCAGCTGTTCAACATTAACTAAAAACTCTTTCTTTATTAATTCTGTTTCTTAAAATTTAGTACATTTGATTATGCCAAAAGGCTTGCCATTTATGGGCATGTGTATGGATTGTAATGTAGAATGCTTGATAAGCAATATACACTGTGAATTTGGACTTTATTTTACTCTTGTCTTTTTTATGCTAAAAATGTGAATTTGGACTTTACTTGTTTTTATGCTAACAATACGAATTTGGACTTTACTTTACTCTTTATTGTTTTTATGCAAAAAATATGAATTTGGACTTTACGTTATTTTTTATTTATGTCCAATGGATTGTTTTTTTTTTTAATTTCAATTGTTCTTATTGAACAAATGGTTTATTATAAATTTTTTATTTAATTTCGGTGTGTGTGCGTGTGTGTATATTCAAAAAGTAAAAAAAAAATACAGGTACACTTACGACTAAATCAGTTCCTGATATGCCCGTTATTTTCGGCATTTCACGTATGAATGGAAGACCATAAATATTTACTTTGGCACTGTGAGACACTCTGAATAACGTCGCAAAAATCCAGAGATATAGAGCATGAAGTGAAACGGAGTGAATGAAAATAAAAAAGAGCACAAAAATCACATACAAAAAACTAACACTCGAATATATTTCTAGTAGCTTTTATATGAATCGTTAAAGATACCAATAAACCAACAAAGTACCACTTTTCATGTCTAATGTAGGGATTGACCATCAACATTTAGATTTATACTTTTTTATAATGAAATTGTTCAATAAGTGGCATGCATTTCTACTCTATTTAAATGGATTTTGAAAAAATGTCACTTGGTTTTTTCTCATTCAATTATGTACTTGGTTGAGTCGATTTTCATATTTCAACTGCGACTGAAATGGATTTTTAAAGTTTTTGACTTCTTGTTTTTTTTTCCTTTTGCATTTTCGATTGGGAGTAATTCCCCAGAGAATGCATGGACAAATTCGGTCTGTGAAAAATAAAGAGGAAGTTAAAAGTAGAAGCCAAAAAAGCACTTCACTTGACATCATGGCCAATATAGTCTATTTTCGGCAGACTGTATAATCCAACAGAAATCTGTTTGATTGATTTACATAAAACACACATAGGTGGATTTTGTTCGAATTGGTAATTTTTTTTGGTTGGAATTATAAAGATTCCAATGGATACTTCTAGGTAAATGTAAAAATGATGCAATGTACTTCAAAAAAAAAAAACATGAGGTTTTCATTGCAAAGGTGACAAACAAACATCCCAAATGATTTGCTGATATCAATAAAAAAAAAAGTTCAAACATACTTTCCGATGGTATTTTGAGCAGAGCAAGTGTATACTCCACCGTCTTCCTCTTTAACATTCGTTATGTTTACATGGCTGATTACATCATCGTCTGTTTTAACATATTGTCCAACTAGAAACCTTGGGCTATCCGGAATCTATGTTTTTCAACATAAAAAAAGAAGATTGAAAACATGACATTTTCTGTTCGTTTTGTCAAAATGCATCAAAATATATTCAATTTTTTTTTTCAATATTACGTGCCGTATGCAATGATACCTAATCAACCAACAACAATAATCCATTCAGTCAGTATATTTCACAAACACAGTTCCAATGTCACTGTTTTATCAACAATTACACTTAAAGTGTCGAGCAGGGACTTGAAGTGAAATAAAAACGGTACTACGCATTTTTGTTTACTTGCATATCAATGCACCATTGATGAGCCGCTGTATGGATGTATGCCACTGTTTATCTACTGATACGTGTTCGTGCATGTTCATGTGAGCATGAGCTGCATACAAATCATCGGGGAAAATGTATATTTGCCGGCATTTGCCTTTTTTGACACATATGTTTTTGTTCCTGGTCTTATATATGTTGAAATCCACTTGATTTCGCGCCAAGTATTTTTGCCATGATTTTTTTTTCTGTACTTGATGAATGGATTATTGCTATTCGCAATAAGTGACACCTTATATATTCGTATTCTAAAGAACAGCACGAATACAAAAATCAGAACGACAGCTAAAGCCATCTTTACGTGCCACTGTTACGTTGAGCATCGATGCTTCACAGCGGTTGCCTGAATAATATTGACCAAACGTACTTAAAAAAATATAAAAATATAATAAAAGTACTGAGCTCGGAAAATGGAAATTCAAACAGCATTTGTGGTTATGAAATATATGCTGGGCGTGCTTGTGTATTCGTGGTGTGCTTTAGAATTCTAAAAATATTTGTATTTTTATCGGGTAATTTTTTGTTTATTTAAAAATAATGCAGACTAAATTTACCGGAAAACCATCCAAGGTCCATGTGAATTGTGGCGGTGGATTCGCTGTTGCAACACATTTAAGTGAAACAGTCGGACCTGGTTGCAGAGTTTGTTCAGAAAACCAATATAGTAGTTCCGGTGATGCATCTATGGTTGCAAAAAAAAAAATCACATAAAATCACTCCATTCATCATCATTGATGTAATTTTTGCGCTGCAAAACTTTATTTACCGCCCAGCTGTAGTTCGGCTGTCGATTGAATTTGTTCCCATTCATTAGTCACAAAGCACTGATACATGCCTTGAAATATGAAAAATGACGACACATAACTAATAAATATTTCGCCTATATAAAAACAAAAGAAACATCATGATACATGCCTTGATCTTCTTTTTGTACCTTACGGATGACTAAACGGGGTGGATCGCTAAAAATCTAAAATGTGACAGGAGATTGATGTGAATGTTTGGAATATCACAAACAATTCAATTACCATATTGTTTACAGACAAACTAACAATAAATGAACTTACTTCAACTCTATTATCACGTATAATGGGTTTGCCATCGTGAAGAAAGTTTATTTCATACACTGGACTACCGGATACGATACAATGAAATTCAGCATCTTTATCCACATCAACAGTCTGCACTTGTGGTTGCAAGTGAGCCGTTAATGGAGCTATGTAATTTAAATAATGAGAAAGAAAAAATAAACAAACAAATAATACATATTTTAAGATAAGCAGCTTTAACCTTTCCAACATTTAGTAGATTGCTTTCGTGGCAATATAAAAAATATATACACTGCCAAAGTACTTGGAAGTAATGCTTGATGTATCGATGCATAAACGAGTGGAATTCAAAAAAATTTTTAAAGACCCATGGATGCGCACAAAAATTAACCAATTTAATCAAAATTCGAAAGCCATATCGACTTTCGTCAAAAAAAAAAATTCATGAAAAACACAGAAATTCGGTAGTTTGTTGTACTAGAGCATCTTGAAACAAGGTCGATCGAGTATTCTAGATATGTTTTTTCGAAAAGGCATCTGAAGAGCTACAAACTGAGCCATTTTCATCAAAATTGTAGAATTTAATCTCGAGTTACAAAGTACAAATCAAGTTGTTTTCAGATTCCCATACAAACTCTTAGGAAAAACTTCATTTGCAAGGAAAATAATTTTCCTGGACGAATTTTTCAAAAAGAAAAATATATTTTTTGTGGATTGGATTCAGGAATCCGAAAAAATCAAGCAAGATATACATCAAGCAATATATATATATGTAATATATATCCATAAATTATGATATTCACATAAAAATTACATTAAGATTGTAAAAGTGTGAGAAGAATGAAAAATAAAAATAAATAAATAACGAAAATTCGTACCAGTTACTGTTAAGAGCGTTGTTATTGTTTCTTCGCCAGCAGTGTTGTTTACCCAGCAGATGAATTTACCACTATCATCCAGTCTCGCCTGCAGTGCATCATAAAAGATTTCATTTTATTATCTTACCTATGCTAGGCTTTACTTTAAATCATCTTATTGAACCACACAAATTCAATAAATAGAAACGACACAATCGAAGAAAATCGGATGAAATGCCTGGCATATTAAATCCAGAATCTAATGTAAATTTTATTACAGGAATCTCAACATCACCGTTATTTATGCCATACATTATTCAAACAAATACGTCCATGAGATTCTTGCCTTTTTTAATCGGTGTCATTTTGGCCGGCAAAAATTTTGTATTTAATATTAGCATTTCAACTAACTCTGTTCAACATCTTTTGAATTACAAATGCACTAAGTAAATAGAGCAGGCATTTATATCGATTTATGCGGAAGAAAAAGCTTCATAATATAGTTGTGGAGAATGCAAGGATTCCAAGCATAACATCAACAAACTATTGAGATATTTATAATGGGAATGCTTAATATTTTACCAAAAGTTTAGATCTTTATACAAATTACGACATTTAATTAAATTGTTTGCACACTAGTTGGAAGTATTGTGTGCTTATAAAACATTTAACGAGAACAAACCTTGGCTATTTTCAATAATCCTGCTGATACCATTGATATCCTTTCACTAAGCTGAACTGGTATTAGTTGCTCATTTTCTTCTTTGAACCACCTGAAATAGTCAGTTGGTAAATGTGAAACGATGTTATGAAATAGAATGTCAGCGATAAATCTAATTTTCAAGTAAATTCGCATTGAAAGTTCTGTGTATCGTCGGTTGAAATTATACCACAAATTCAAAACTTTTTTTTGACATATTAAACGATATCACTCTATTAATATATCCACATTCATTCACCTTCTGACACACTTCTCGCACATTCGTGTGCCATTTGCCGAGCTCATTAAAATCGAACCAGCAAAAATACTGAAATCGTTACAAAGTTTTATTCCGTGTGATTGATTGCAAAATTGTGGTAGCAATTTGTTGAAAAACTTCGTACATTCACCGCGTGATTTCGATTCGATTTTCGTTTATCATTATAAATAAAAAGAAGAAACTTACCGATAAGTTGGCACTGGATGACCTTGAGCGATGCATGGCAACGTTGTTTGTCCATTGAGCACAACATGACGTAGTGAATGTTTTTCAACATTTATTCGAGGCTGTACAAAACCTTTCGGTTCAGTAACGATAATTCGGCCTGGATATGTAGACGTTTGTATATCGCCTACAAAATAAATGAACATTAAAGTTTTGTTAATCTGTATGTGGCACATAGTGCATTGCATTCATGTAAAATGGATTCTTATTCGATACGAAGACATGAGAAAAACACACACACAGAGAGAGAGAGAGAGTTAGCGAAACGAAAGAGATAGTGAGGAAATCGAGTAAGTAACCGCTATAGTGCCATTCATGATTTGTGCATGCACAAACTAATTCATATAAAGCATCCGATAAAACATTTATCCAAATTAAAGGATTTACGGAGCAAGCACGTACTCAAACTAGTAAAAAATCAGTACGCTCAGTCGTTCACATAGTGCACTTTACATAAGCTCAAGCAATGGATGTAAATTGCGGTGAATAATATCGGAGCTTGACGTTTTATTTTTTATTTTTTTTATTTTTTTGGATTTTGCCTTTTATATCTTGCATTTTGTGTCATTTGCACATTGAACTTTCAAATGCAGTATGGTAATTGGTTTCATTAGTTTGAATAAATACGCTCATTAAAGCTAATACACTGCGATAGAAGTGATATAGATAAAGGAAAACATTCAATTTAAATAACTTGGTAAAAGTTATCTCATAATGAATTTAATATATCAACTGAATTGGGTTTTTCTTTTCAGCAACGAAAAATGTTGATGTTGCTCTAGATAAATGAATAACGGAATCATTTCGGAATGGTTGACGTTGTATGCAGCACTTGTCAATCAAATTTTTCACCTACAGACTTAGATAATCGATATTGAATTTTACCAGAACGGTCAAATCAACTGCAGACTTTGTTTTTAATTAATTTTCTCGCACAGTTCATACGATGAGACTGCACGGTATCGGTTCAGTGTTCAATATTCAATGTAATACGCGTCAGCATTCCCTAATGTAAATCACTCCAGTCATGAGGTTTCATATAGTGGCCAGAACATAACTGTATAAATCTATTTCTATTTATAAAGTCTATGTGACTGGTTGTTGGGGAAAAAGGAAAATCGAATCAAAATGAAAGTGCCTTTTTTGCGCTTTTCTATATTATGGTACTAAACATTAGTTACGATCTCTAAGGAGAAGTAATGGATTCTGGAACATTTTTCCATTTTCATTATGTTTTACCGTTGTTGGCAAGATGAAAGAACAAATAGACTCTGTGCTCGATTTTCCAATAAAAATAATGCATTTTGTCTATACATAAAATACCATGCCGTCAATTTAATTTTTTTCATGTAACTTGAACTAGTCTTTCTATTTAAATTTTTTTTTGCCATGTCTTTCCTTTCAGTAAGTAGCTCTCATTTTTCACAAACGCATTCATGCCTTTCTGTTGTATGATACTGGTATAATCAATGGATACTTGCTCTTTTGAAATCAGCATAGAATAGCAAATTTTTCTTCTAATTTTTTATTCGGTTCTCATCGCATGATGTATATGATCATGACAGATACTAATATCATGCATGGCAACTTAATAATGTTAATCAATGAATTTTTGGCTTCTTTTCTTTCGCTGCATTATTTCACACTTCGTTTACTATGCAATTAAATTGTAAGACGTCACAATATGTGTGAAATGAATATTCTCTTTGACTCATCTGATTCGCTTGGCTGGCAAAACAGACTTGACTAAATACCGCTGAATACAATCAAGGGAAACCCAAAATTTTCCTATTAAAGCCAAGTTATAGCAATTTTCTAACATAACACATGCACTCTTATATTGTAGGGATTACCCCAAACAAATTTTCGGATTTTTTTCTAATGTTACCCCAAAAGTAGTCAAAATGACTCCAAATGGATTAAATTATCATTTTGTGAACATAGAACTATTTTTCACAATAAAATTATTTTAAAACACCCAATAATGTACTGACAGTTCTAATGTTGTGAATTTTACAACAGAACGTTTAAAAAATCTTTATGTCAACGAACGTTGTGAATAGTCCAACAATCGTTGTCGTTGTGAATACGTACAATATACAATGACATATGTATATTCACAATGACAACGATTGTTAGACAATTCACAACGTTCGTTGACATAAAGATTTTGTGAACGTTCTGTTGTAAAATTCACAACATCAGAGATGTCAGGGTGTTTCAAAAGTAATTCGTGCTTCCGTAAAACTTCAGAAAACAATATAAAAAATTTGACTATGAAAATTATTTTTTTGTTTACAAAATAATAATTTAATCCATTTGGAGTCATTCTGACTCCTTTTGGAGTAATCATGGTAAAAAATCCAAAAATGTGTTTGGGGTAATCCCAATAATATAAGAGTGTGTGTTAGCATGTTTTAGAAATAGAAAAATTATATATTTCGAACTCTCTACAAACGTGAAGTACCAAAGAAGGTTTATTTTGCGATAAAAAAATGGACAATACAACAAACTAAATATTCAGTTGAACTGAAATCAAACAGCCAGATATTCGGTATATTTTGTTCCGGTTTTTACAAAAAAAAAAAAATAGAAGAGCAACTTAAAACTCTGAATTTAGAAGTATATTTTAGTCTAGGGGAATTTCTCACTAACAAAATGTATCGAATTCGTGCAGTTTTGCTTAAACTAAATGAATCTGTTGTAATTCGTGCTAATCCGTGGTAAACTGTGTAAATTGGCTGCATATCTGTCAAAATTTTATTTAAACATATACATATACAATATTTATATTTTTATGGTTAAACAGTAAATGTTTTTAATATTTATTTAATGAAAATTTATTTTCTTTTCAATTTTGAGCAATTTTCTGTCGAAAACAATCGAAAATATTAAAAAGATAATGAATTAAAAAATAATATGGTTATCATAACCTCACTTTATTATGTTAACAATTAGTGTGTCCACGTGGACTCCGTCAGAAAGTGAGGTTATGTCAGAAAGTGAGGTTATGTTATCCACATCATTTTTTTATTTATTATTATTTTAATAATTTCGATTGTTTTCGAGAGAAAATTGCTCAAAATTGAAAAGAAAATTAATTTTCATTAAATAAGTAATAAAAACATTTAATTATCAAATTTTAAATTCCCCTGAAATTTCCTATGGATTTGTGTAGCTAATGATAGAACAGACGTTAGAACTGTCAATATGAACAGAAAATCTGTAAGAATTCGCCTGAATCGGCTGCAACTGCAGTAAGTTGTGTAAATTGACTGAAAACCGCAGTATTTACGGGTTTTGGAACACGAGAAATTCCCCTAGATTTTAGTATTGGTATCGAGATGTATATATCATATATCTGGCAGAATGATATGAATTTGCTGAAAGTTCTATTTCCAATTAACTATGCACAAAGCAGCTGCATATGCTCATCAAAATTTTGAATTTTACCACATCACGTTGTTTTAGTTTTACAAACAAAATAATTTCTTTACCAGTTAATCGATTGATTGTTCGACAAGTATAGGTCTTGAAAGCATCTGATGGACTTGCATTGTTTATATAGAGTTCACCATTCGGAAGTACATTGTATTTTCCACCAATGTCTGTATTTGGATACAAATGCATGCCATTGTCCTGTACCCATGCGGTCACCATTACGAATTCGTTCATGTAGCTGGGAACCTGTAATAATAAACGAAATGTCCATATTAACGTTTTGGAAATCATTTGGCATATGTTTGACTTTCAACACAAGAAAAAAATTGACATCAATTGTTTGTAGTCAAAATTGTTTCATCTCATTGAATTTGATAAAAGAAGGTTGCAAAATGTATAATTTTTCGATGATCGATTGAAAATTACACATGCGAAGTGTTAACTATACAGAGTGGCTGTAAGACTAGGTGTGAGATAAAGTGAGTTTTGAATAGTGAAGACGTTTTTTACTCTTAAATATCTTCTCGTCACCTTAGTTAACCTGCTTACCAATCATTGTTAAAAAAATTGGCTCACCTGACATTTCAATACTGCGGTATTTCCAGACATAACATACTCATCGTGTACCTGCACTTTGTATTTCTGATTTACAACTGAAAAGGAAGAGATTGAATTTAAGTATTATTTATCGCATCATACATAAAAACATTTATTAACCTAAAAGTTAGGATATTTTATTAAAGAAATGTTGAACATTTGATGAATGCTCATTAAAATACTTATAAACCACTACAAACTGTTAAAAACAAACAACAAAACTATTGTATGTTTAGAACAATAGCGTGCGCAGGGGAAAGATTTTTTTGGGTTGTTAGTGTTTTTGAGAAATTATTTTTTAATTTCCTTGGGTTTTTATCGAGTATATTTCTTAAAAATGCTCGATTTGTTAAGCTTTTTTGGCATACGGAATATATTCCAAATTAATCCAGGTGGAATAAAAGAATAGAGTTTTGGAATATTCTTTCGATTTTTTTTTTTTGTTCGTCAAATTTGCCCAGAACAATAGTTAAAATGGAGTTTTGAAACTGACTCCCCTTAGAAATCTGAACTCACACGTATGTAGGTATGTAATGGGAACTTTTCTATTACTTTTTTCTAAGTGTTTCTAGGTCTTCATTTTATAACAAAAACTTGTAATTGGAGGGTCGAAGTTGAAGGGTTGCACCACCTTTTAAAAACTTTAAATGCATTTCACATCAGTTAGGTATATGAATGGAGCCGATGCAAGGAAAACAGCCGACAGGCAAAAGAAGAAAAAAAAATACAACAGCACTAGGTGAGTGAGAACTAGGCCAAATTCATTCTGAATATTATGGTATCTCGCTCTTTTTTATGGATTTGGTCACAGCTGGTCGCAATTATAAAATGCTATAAACAACGTGAACCATATACAATATTATGTTTGCAGCATAAGAAAAATTGAAAAGCTTTTTCGCGCTCACTTATCGTTAAGTATATTATGCTCGTTCAATCAGCTGCCTGCCATTTATTATTCAAATGTTTTTCCATCATCTTGGCAGAAAAGCAAATAAAAATTGAACGGAATTTCAAGAGTCACAATTTGATGCCAATGCGGCAGCGCTCATATATTTTGTCATAATATCATTGTACGCAGTACAAAAGTATTGCTTCCAGTTATTTGAAGATACGATTTTCTACTCATATTTTATAAACAATTGAGTAATTATTCCGAAGAACCAAAAGTCAAATGACAAAAAAGAGACATTTTATTAAGTACTGCAGTGTTTGAACGATTTAAATGGCCCGAATACACATCTAAAATTAACTTTCGATTTTCACTTCTGATATATTTCCCCATAGAAATGTTTTGAAACACGTAAATGTTCCAAGAGTAGCTTAAATTGGAGTTTAGAGTGAATCTGAGATGTACAATTATCAAAATCTCTGATGAGTAGAGATCCTCCCAATGAGGGGATTTTGACTTCAATTTTCCAGAAAATCATTCAGGAAATTCGTTTGATATCATTGTTTTCGATGTCAAAGAAACCATTTATGTGTCGATCAATATTCGAGTACAATGAATGTAGAAGTTTTTCTCGAGACTATTCGATGAAGAGGAATTTAATGAAAAGCTGAAAATATCAATAGCATTAAGTATCTTATGGTGTGTGTGCATGTTGTGCATGATGTGCATGGAGTACAGTATGTATTTTGAATCAATGACTTTGTAATTTTTAATATTTAACGCGAACAAATAGAATGAAGAGGAGAAGTAAAGGAACAGCGTGTGGACTTCGATGAAGAAACTCATTAGAGCTTAGAGCTGAATTCATGTATAAAAGGATATGTAAAATATATAGAGTCTGGCATTACTTTTTTTATGTATGATGTACATACGAGGAAAAATATAGAAAATACTGTGTTGAATGTGCCAATGTACCAAATGTCCATTCACAAGCATACTTAACAATAAACAAAGTGTGTGACGCTCGGGTGTATTAGCACAACTGTACAGTTTTGGCTACTCTGCACGCAAATACATTTGAATGGCTCATGCAAATAAACGATGTCGCATCTCGAGGCGCATTGATGCTTCGTGACTGCATACACACATTGGCATTGACTTAGTCTTTCATATTAAATGCTGAACAACAATTCCCGGCAAGTAATTTGTGAAGCGCGCACAGGCATATATGTGAAAACACTGAACATACAAATATGCGCCAGCCTTATGCGCTGATATTTATTGCTCTTGTTTACTTATATTGTAAAACAATAATAATGCATGGAATTCGAAGTGACTGCAGCAAACATAGCCGCTGAAATATTTGGAATGGTGCGGTGAAGAGGGTGAAATGGAGAGTTGAAAAAAAAAACAAAGTGGTTGCTCTTCAAAAAGACAATAGTCCGAAAAAAAAGTATGAAAATGATTGTGACAAGAATAAGGACAAAAACACTGAAAGACTTCTCCCTATATGCATAATTGAGACCACGTATAATGCAACAACACAAGCACACAATGTCTACATGACGTGTGCATCCCAATGAAAGCTTTGAAACGAGTGGAGTGTGTGTGTGTATGTATTTTTTCACAGCCGTTGTACTTTAGATTTGCATAGCGACGACCCAAGATGTTGAAAATTAATCTATGTGTAGTACAATGTATATGATCGGTTTACAGTGTAACATTTGCTTGTCACGAATTATACCGGCGATATGAGAAATAACTTCTTCGCATTATGTATGATGATCAGCTCAGCTGAGTAACCAAAGATGCAGAAAAATATTTCAATGAGAATTGCAAATGATGGCAACTCATCACAAAAATTATTTGAACGAAAAGAATGGGAATGCAGTTGAGTAGAAAAAGAAAGAGAGTGAAATGCCATAGAAAACCAAACACAAGAGGATTTTCTTGAGCATGGGAAGCTTTAATTAATTATGCATCTTCAATAAAGTATCGCGATGTGCAAACAATGGCTACATTTATCTACAATTTTTAACTATATCTTACACCGCATCGAAATCATGTAACATGGGGAGGGTTGAAAGAAAAGAATAATTTCTCATTTAAAATGACAGATCACTTTTGAGTGTACGTGGTTAAAAAAAATCTGTGAATTCTGTTTACGGGAAGTTCAGTACGACTGCTATTCACGCTTTTGGTCTTCTACTACTATTTTTAATAATTAGAAAAGTTGAAACATCTGATGATATTTTTCTCGATATGAATTCGATTCGGTGGATTTGCGTGTAATTCGATTAAATGTGTCATATAAAAATGGTATCCAATAGTTGAAATACCTTTCATGCTGATTTTTAATTTTGAATGGAAATAATGAACATATTAATACTCACCACCCCGAACGAGAACTTCTCTACTTAAGATCGTACCGACCAGATTCCGTATTTTACATCTGTATAGAAATGAGAGAAAAAAGAAATCGAATATAGAGGTTCAATAATCAAAGGTTGAAATCAACCGTATTTCGTTCCATCTTTTTTTTTTTCATTAAAAATGTGACAGGATTAAGAATGTGAGCATTCGCATTGAATCAAATAGCAACCATACGAGTTTTGAAATTTGCAACGTACATATCTGTATATATATAACATTGAAAATAGCAATAAATTTGTAGAGTGTGTGCAAGTGCATTCTTCCATAAAAATACTTCAAAATTCTTTGCATTTTAATCCATTTCGCGTCTTTACCATCCTCACATTTCATGGCACATTCAAAATTAATTTTTGTAATAATTTTCTCCTGGTAAAATGTTATAGATTTTTTTCTTCTTCTTCTTGGTCTCGCAATTTTTCGTTGCGCAATATTCCTATATATATCTTGAATTTTCTTCTTTTTTTTGGTATTTCGCTTCTGTTATTATATTCCACGGGATTGTGTACTTTGGTCGGAATATGATTCGTCAGGTGCGCTGAATAACTTCAGTCACTGTATTTGTATGCGAGGTGATCTCGAAAAGTGGAAGATTACAGCGCAGTAGAAATATTGGAAAGCAGGTGCAGCTACAGAGAAGATTACCTAATGATAACAATATTAAGTTGTCGTTGTGAATTCATCCCGAATGCATTACGATGCATGTTTCTGCTCTATCTACACCTTTTTGCACAAAATCATTCTATTTCATCTCAACTCAAAGTGTATTTGATATTGGTATATTTAATGGACGACAGAAACACCAACACATTGTCAACCCATACCCAAATGGATGCGAATTTTGTAATTATGATTCTACATTTATGCTCAAACATTTCGATACTTTAAATGACCATGTTACTTGCAAATAATCCTCTAAAATGCAAATGAAAAAAAAGACAACTAATAATAAACATGCCTGTAAATGGTGGAATGTATTTCATGACGATATTTTTCAGCTGAGAATGGATAAAAGATGAGACTCCCATTTGGTAACGAATAGACCATGTCCTGATGCGGTGGAACTGGTGACCATTCTACCTATAATTATAAAGGACATACCATATAGTTTGATTATTCAGCATTTTGATGATTTGGTGTCATCTTTTCTTGTATATAAATGAACAATGAAGTATATAACATTTACAAAATCTACATAGGACTGTGTAAATTTAAGCAAATTAAACTTTCGCACATTTTTGAATTAAAAAGAAAATGTTGATTGTGATAGCAAGAGTTTTATTACAACTAACATTTTAGATTTTAGCAAACGGCAACAAGAAACAATCGCATACAATGAGATTATACCAAAGGTAAATTAGCATACATGTGCCGACACAAGTGTTTTGTTCTTATTTCTTGTTGTGTCATAGAACGAGTTAATGCTCTGCGAAAATAAACATGACACAACTCAAAATAATCCCGACATAATGTCATTTTGCCAGCTATGCATTTTGTCAGCTGGTAAAATGAAGCATACTATCAAGCAATGCCATCAAGCGACATTCTGTTTATGTGAGAATGGAAATGTGGAACTTATGAATGGACCAAAACATTTTTATCGATTGCAAATTAAAGGTGTAACCACTTCTATTGCTAGATTTTCACTTGATTAGAGTAGGATAATTTTGAATGTTGAACAGATGTACTTTTTTTAGATAGTAAAAATGTTTCATTTATACATCATATATGACTTTTGAAAATCGCCTTTAAGAAACATGGACGAAAGGCGACGAAAAGTAATGCGGCTAATGTTATCAAAAAATTACCTCTGGTTGCGGCGACCCGTGACCGGAGCATTCAATATGACCACCTGTGCTGTTTGAAAATTCCACTTTATGTGGTGGCTCATGTGAAAATATTGGCCCTTGTTGATCTAACGTGAATATACCTATAAAAATAGCATAAAATAATGAATGTTTATTTATTATATATATAAAACATGAATGCTATTTATAATATTCAAATTGAAATTTATTGTTTATTCTGCTTGAATATAGGATTTTCGGTGTTGATTGGTAAACATTGAATTAAATCGAGTTCTAGAGAAAACGAGAGAAAATCCAATCAAAAGCAAAGAAACAGTTTAAATTTATAACCAAAGTTAATTCAGCACGATTATTACCTGAATGAATATTTAAATGAATATAATTGCTCTTGGTAATGAATTTTTACTTAGTGAAAATGAACAGAGTCGTAAGAATCGCATGCTAGTTTCTATGGTAATTTGTAATCATTTCAAGTTGTTATTGAAGTATTAATTTGGTTTCGAAGTTTCTCAATGAATGCAAATTGAGTGATTTTACTTTTAATTGAATTAGATTTATTTCAATTGTAGCATAGTTGGAATGGCATTTGGAAGAAATCAATTAAGGTGACAGATGATGAGTTGGTAACAATCTTTATGGATTATTGAAGCTGGATGTATTATGATTGCACAAAAATACAACAAACCAACACGATTTTTATGATTTTGTAGGTCATTGTAGTTTTGACTAAGTGTTTGGCTTTTGTGAGTTATGCATTTAATGCGTCAATAATTCTTATCTTTTAAAACTATATATACAATCCCAGTCGATATAAAAACGTTTTCCAGATTTTTTGTTTCAAAAATGCATATATATTTTCGTTTTGATGTTGTAAAACTTTGTGTCGATAACGAAAAACAAAATCAAGTGAGTGCAAAAAAATATTGGGATTTTTGGTAGTAACGTGTCTAAGATATTACGCTGATGATGATGATGATTCAACGTAAACATAATTATGTTCATTACTCGAAAGGGTATTACATTTTTTAACGATGGGTAGTAAAGTGCATATACAAAATCTGGAACATTTGCTTCCATAAAATATTGAACTTTACTATTCAACTTTCGGTAAAATCGAGCATAAATTTCGCACGGTTGAAGGACCAAATGAAAATTTTACAATTTTCATCCTTGAATTAAAGGATGTAGGAAAGTAGGACCTATTGAATATTCAAGAGATTTGGAAACCCAGCACTTATTTGAATTTGAAACTCTGGAGATGAAAAAAGTGACCTTCTCACTAGATTTTTACTATGGTTTTCATGTTACATCGTCAAACTGGTGACCTCTCATATCACAAGTTTATAGTTTTTGTTGTCAAAGTAAACAATAATCTCTATATATTATATTTGCATGTATAAGTGGTATTCTTTTAGACGAAAAAAAAAAACGGAAAAGTATTATTATAACTTTTTTTTCTGTATGCGTTACAACGTTGTTTGAATTGGTGAAGCCGAAATTGAGTATATATGTGAGAATAGTGTGTGTTAGTAGTGAGTGTTTGTTCGTGTTATCGCTTATCATTTCGTTATTTAGACAAAATGAAAAATATCATTAAAATCAAACGTATTTTTGCATTACACAAAATGATTGAATCCATAATATTATTAACTTAATTGAAAAAATGTTTTCTCTAAATTTCAAAAGTTGACAGCCTTATAATTTCAAGTGGGATGCATATCAATGTTTTGTGGTGATAAATATTCCGGGAAAATGATGCGATTTTTATTCCGGGCACGTTTTCAAATTATGACAGCGGAGTTCTGTTAAGAATGTTCCATGTTGATGACACTTTAACGTCATGCTCTTGTTTTAGCTGAGTGCAGTGCTCTGTTTCGTTTTGACAATGAGCGCTCGATGTCACCGCTTCACAAAATTACCGTGTGATGTTTGCCAAATCATGCACAAAACACATTTCAAGTGGAAAAAAATGTTTACGCCAATTATTACATTCGAGTGTCATTTTTTGCACTATATGCATAATCCTTATTGCTTTCGTCGCTATATATTTACTGTTTAAACAGTTCATTGTTTTTTCTTCGTCATTCAGTTGTTCACATTAGGGTTTGAAGCCATGTTGATTAGTATTAAAACACATAAAATATGTTGTAACAGCAGGAAATATCCAAAATACACTTGATAAATGTACATGAACATGTTTCTTAAACAAGATTTCATAACTTTACCAAGTTTTCTTTCCCAAATGAATATTAAGTGTAAACGAAAAGTTTTTGCCCAGAACACATAGCATCCTATGACATTCAAAAAATGTGCCGAATAAAAATTGCCGGGCTTGCAACTCATACTCATACCGCAGGCTACGCATGCACAAATTCAACCATATCGACATTGTGCATTTCACAAAATGACACACAATTGAAACATATTCATGTAGACTGAACGCCAACGTTAATAAAATGTAAATGAAAACATTCGAACACAATAAAAGAGCATTCAATACGTTCGTCATGAAAACTTTTCGTTTTGTCTTCTAAGGCATTTGTTCGAACACTTAGTTTCGTTATTCGAATTCCATGCAAACGCATTGAACATAATTCAGTTCATTCGTTGCCGTCAAAAACCAATGATTGCTGAAATATGACGTTCGATATCTTTACATTTATTGATTTCTGTATTTTATCAGTTTGTAATTCAAATGAATTGTCAAAACTTCTTATCGCCTTGCAAAAAAGTTAATGCATTTAATTTTTAAAGGAAACAACAATGTAAATACTTTTCATGCATGTGCGACTCCATTGTGATGTGAATTATCTTTGAATGTAGTTGAAGTCACAAAGTTTCCAACACACACAATTATTGATAACTATAAAATTGTGCAGATACACAGAGTGTACTTTTTGATTGAACGATGAAACTTTATTGTTATGCATCAATGTGCCGAATACCGAATAAGTTTGCCGGTTATAGGCAAATCAATTCTGGTGAATTTGAATTGGAATGTTACCGCATTCATTTAAATGCAAATTTGTGCAAATAATTTTTAATGCACATCTGTTATTATTGCTTCAATATCAATGATAAACAAATATTCACAAATATTTTTGCGAAACTATTTTGATTATGTTCAAATCGTCATCGAAATGACAGTGATGATAACTTTGTTATTTCTTCTGGATGTACATTCTTTCAATAAGAATTACGCCACGTGTTTGGGCCCGTAGAGATAACACTCATATGTATCCGTCAATCTGCAGGTACGGATATGCATCCGTATTTGTGATTAGAAAATTGGATCTGTTCGGTGTGACAGATATCTTTATTTATGCCGGCGAGTTGACTGTAGATCCTCGAAAACGTCCAGCTTGACTTCATTTATGGATCATATCCGAAACATTTCCCGAAAATAATTTTTCCTACAAAATTCGGGAATTTTTCCAAGAAGAAAGTGTTTAATCGAGAAATATCATTTTCGGTAAATCTTCCAGCATTCGTGAATAGAATAATACGATTTTATCCAAATCAACCGGAAAAATCTGCTACTAAATGGAATCTATTTCTGGGCACAGTCTACATACTCCACCTACGATCAAAATAATTACATGTATGAAGTCAATTATATAATTCGCTGTGTTTGCCTTTTTAGTGATGTTGAATGTTTTTCCATGCATTTAACAAAATCAAAAGTTCGAAACTATGCCGGCCAAATGATGTATGTAACCACAGTATTTACCAAAAATCAAATAGTGTCACATCAAAATCTTCATTCGTTTGTGAATCTATTGTAAAAGATGTAAATGGAAAAACATAATATGTTTGAAGTGATGAAACTATGGCCCGTAAATAAAACGAAAATGTTGATATCACTCATGTTTGACATGGTGGCAAATAATATTTACTAAATGTGCATGAAATTGATCCAGTATGGCAAAGGCAAAGTTTGTTTGAGCTTCTATGTTAATTTATGTTTGCAAAATAGTCTATAAATTTTATTAGAGTTGATTTGAAGTGTTCGAACATTGTGTTTATATTGGCAATTTTTTCGGTTGGATGGGAGGTGGGGCGAAACATCTCAAAAGATAGAACCGCTAATAATACCCTCTTGAGAAATGCTGACTCTTTTCAATCGTTGGGAATTTTATGTTCACTTATTTGATTGAATTCATAGGAAATAATAAAAGTCTATTACATTTTACCCTTTTTTTTATCAAAATCAAATGATGTCATTCGCTAGCGTTCGGTTTAGTTTTTTTCACCAATAAATATTCATTTTATTCATCCGGATCGAACCGAACATTGATGCGAATCAACATCATTGAATAGTATATCATTATGAATGCGCATTCAAAACTTTTGGTTCTGTTTTTCTTTGCTCGCTCAAATATTAACATAAAAAGCCGAAGTTTGTTTGTATTTCACAAAGCCAATGACGCAAATAAGTATGTGATAATAGACACTAAATTTGGGAGTTTATTTTTTTTTTTCTTTCGTTTGGCGTTTGCAGGAACGATCTTTGTCGTTTTTGCCGATTTGCTCTAAAAAATTTGTTCCTCTCTTCTTATTAAGTTTATTGATGTTCAATGCTTTGGATAATATAATAGATGGGCAAAAGTGATGATGTCATAAACCAATATTGAATTTTATTTCAAGCGAGAAAAGAAGTGTTCAAAAACTTCTTCAATATCAATAAACCGTAAATAAATAAGCAATGTTGCGAACAAATTGATTTTCGAGCCAAAGAACCGCAGGAAAATAGCTCAATACACAATATTCCAATTTTACGAAAGATGTATTGGTAAATTTTCACAAGCACATAGAGACTAACATGTCAGAGCCATCAAACTTTTTTTCCAATTGGGGAATAGTTTAGCTATGTCTCGAGATAGATAAACTTTGTGCTTTTGTGAGCTGTGCTCGTAATAGAAATGACTAAAAGTTGTTATTTTTTTTCACTTACTCATGTACGTTTTGACATTATTATGTATGAATTTAATTATGGATTTGAAACAAATTTTCATCAACTTCACTCCTTGTGTGTTCGGAAAATGTTCAATTCATTTTGAATAACAGATGATAGCAGGATCATGTGTTGTGCAACATCCATTTTGGTTTTGAGCTTTTAAAC